TTGCAGAGACAATTCGGTTACTACTGTTTAGGTTTATACTTTCTGCTTATTATAACAGTCATACTGTCACTGGGCAACGAACGCGAAGCAAACAACAATAAAACGGTCATGTTATGCAACAGTGTTGGAACCTTGCTAGGTAGCAGGGAAGCGCAACAATGGAATTGCTGTTGGAAGCGGTGTTTTCTGTGTCACATGTAGGGTTTTTTTTTGTCTTATGAGACGGGTTCTGGGTTGGATTATTGGGTTTATTAACACCTTATTCACACAACTCGGTTCTACAGGCAATACAACACTACCGCTGATCTACACACTTTACAGTTCACAGTTACACAAGCACAAGGGTTTTCAGCCTTCGCTAGTCGTATCCTGGCAACGGATTTCTTCACTGTCTCACTCTCACTTCAAGTCACACATGAAGTCTTCTTTGCCTAGCCTCATTTCCTTTCTTGTCATTATTCTGCAACTGTCAATTACGAAGACACGACTCAGTTGAATTCCTCTGCTCCCAAGCTCTTACCTTTCCAGGCTGGGGTCCCGAAACTCGACTCGACTTTGCAAGGACCACGCAGAAAACACAGCCCCTCTATTGTTGGAAAGGTGTCTACACCGCCGTTGTATAGCAAAGGAATTTATTCGATTGTTGCTTGCGTATTCGTTGCCGCTGGAATATGTTTAACGAGTTGTTGCCTAGCAATGAACGTCTGTTCTGACTTCGCTATTCCGACTTTTGGGCGTCATGTCACAATAATTACTCTTGGGATATGACTCCGTGTAGTTCGGTAGTTTAACGACTTCTGGGAAGAACGTGCTGCCTTTACCTTCAGGGCCGAAAAGTAAGTCAGGCGAGCAAGAAACAGAAACAAGAGTTATTGCTTCTGGTTTGCTGATTACTTTACTTTCACCTTGAAGATGGAGGAGTTGCGTTTCTCAGAAACGTTTGTAAACTTCTACCACACTGTGTAAGATTTGAGGCTTTCACGGCGGTGACTATGAAGAAAGCAGTCTTCTACCACACTGCACGGCGCCACATCCAATGAGATGTTACTATTCAAATTTTGTGGTTCGGATCTTGACTTAAGATGAGCACCTTCTCTGCAGGAAATTCTCTTATCATGAATAAAATTCAGACCTAAAGTGAGAATACTTTTCCGGACAGAAAGAAACCAAGATAAACTAAGACGATGCCTGGAGATGTAACTAACAACACGCTATCTGGTACGAAATCCCTCTAATACTTACCAAAGTGTAACTTACATTTCATAACACAAAATTTTCAGTTTGGCCATCCCTAATTAAATGGATATATAGGTTAAAGTAGCGTATCCCATTTAAATGCATCTTGGGCGGTGAGTTTTTGAGCCAACACATGGTTTTCCCACGGTAAATATATTGCTCTGTACGAAATTTACTTTATTCTATTATTAAGAACTACGAAACGTTGAGACGAATACGTAAAGTTAAATTAGTAAAGCTTCACATAATTCTAGGTCTGAGAACATTTTACACTGTATTCTGTTGAAATTGATAACATATATTGAACTTTTTATAAAAGAAACCTCGAATGTTATACCAGTCGTTTGTAAGAGTGATCATTTTTAAATTACTGTACACTATAAAAATCACCATAGGCGGCTCCAGAGCTGGAGATGTTAATTCCCGAAACATAGACTCCCTTCTAATTAGCAGGGAGAAAAACTGGTAAACACAGTGCGCGAACGTACCAAAACATCCTTGAAAACATGATCGTATTTTTTTTTAATTTAAAAAATTCATTATTGTTATTTGCAGAATATAAAATTACAACCTGTTGAGTTTCTGTGGGTGTTATTTACGGTGGCTCAGCAGTTAGACCTGTGAATGACAGTGCAAAGATATTGAAAACGGAGTATAACAAATATCTGCCTTATGTTCTAAAATTGCTCATGTTTTACTTCCGGAGTAAGACGTTAGAGGTCACAACCATATAAACCAACGTTTAAAATAATACAAGAAATAGGTACCGTGCCATTTTTTATTTATTTCTTTCGTGGGAATCTTCTTACTTGGATGAAAAGTATATGTTGCAGGTGTGTGAAAACAGAGACATGATGGAAGTATCCGAAACCTTCCTCACCTGAATCCGTCTTTTTTTCTTCTTTTTCTATACTTAGACCGCCTCTATGATCCAGTGGTCAGAGTTCCTGGCTACAGTTCCAGAGGTCACGAGTTCAATTCCCGGCACTATCAGGTTTTCTGAGAATTAGTGGGCCTTGAACGTTGTCCACTCAGCCTCATGAGGATAATTGAGGAGCTATTTCAAGGATATAGCGGCTCCGGTCTAGAAAACCGAAATTAACGGCCTTTGGAATCCGTTGCGCTGACACCGTGAGCCTCGCTATCCGCTAAAATTTGCACTAACTTCGCTGAGAAGGGGCGGTCGGCACGGACTTTGCTTTTTTTTTTTGGTTTCTCTAGTTTTATTTAAACGAAGAACTGCCTGTTCCCGTAGATATTGGTGGCTTGGTTGCTTCCTTGTTCAGAAATAATTAATTGAAATGGACGGTCTCAGTTACATGTTTGTTACTTCCAGAGCAAGTAGTCACATGTACTTTATGTTTCATTGTACGTTATTGTCGTATATCTTCGAATATTTACTTTTATGTCACCCTAGGAAAGAGATAATAAAGTGTTTCCTTTTCATATTGATGTATTATACTTCCTGTGAAGAGCCTACACTGCGAAGAATATTCCTTCTTATTACTTTTATCCTCAGGGTCTCTGCTTTTGTTTCTAGAAAGTGGTGTCAGTATTATCTTTAATGCTCATCATGCTATTATGATAAATCTGTCTTAGAAAGTAATCTTTTCTTCTTATCTTACCTACGGTTCGATAATATCATAGAAATAAATATTGTCCCTTTTGGATGGCTGACGGGTGCCTTTTCAGCAATAGCTATTATATATTAACCTGACATACTTTGTCTCAACTATCTTTGAGAGCATGTCATACAGTGAGTGGGTAAATTCACGGAAAAAAATGCCTACTTGTTCAAGAAGATCTCTGATATAGCAATTCTGCTACCCGTCATGTGTTTAAAATAGAATCTATTGATCTAATGATGCTTTAATGATCTGTGACACTGGACACGTGTACATACACAAGTTTCTGCTTAGAATGGACGATACTATGATATTCCAGTATATTGACCTTTCCTCCTGGGGCATCCTGTATACTGTCATTAAATAAACGGAGACACTGTGTACTGGTGTGGTCAAGAAAATGTGAATCTATACATCCACTTCCCCCTACGCCTTCATGGCGCAGTTATTAATTAATTAAGCTCAGGGATATCTCTACCTCCATTACCTTACCTTACCTATGTTCTGGTGTGGGTCTGCTGCTGATACAGTGTTGCGTGGTGCATTAAAAGAAAGGGGAAAGCCTCGTAACTAACAAGAAAATGCTCATGCTACATTAAAGAAGTTGCAATTTTCCCCGTTGCTTCAGGTAGTGTTGTAACGATGGTTTATATCAAGTCGTAAACACGGCATGCCGTTAAATGGCTTCGTTGCGCTTTGAGACATTGGGAGAACAACACATGAAATTATAGCAACACGCTCTAAATCTTCTTTCAGATAGGAAATATTAGGAGGGACTCCAGAATATACATATACATGTACTAAATGTCGCCACTCCTGCTGAACGAGCTAGGTGGATGCCGTCAGTAAGGAGCTTCATATAAAGAAAACGAGCCACACTGAACGTCGCTAGTGAATGCTCAATATTCCTGCTCTCTGATTAACGCGTTCTATGTTTGATTCTCTGTCCGGAACCTGCACAATAACTGTGAACTTTTATTTCCCTCAGTTCCTTCAAGAGACCAGGTATCTTAGGTATCCTTAATTTACCTCAGTTCCTGCAAGAGAGGAGGTATTCTGATGTTTGCTTGGTTTACCTTGGTTCCTGCAATAGAGGAGGTATGCTGATGTTTCGCTTGGTTCACCTCGGTTCCTGCAAGAGAGGAGGTATGCTGATGTTTCGCTTGGTTCACCTCGGTTCCTGCAAGAGAGGAGGTATGCTGATGTTTTGCTTGGTTTACCTTGGTTCCTGCAAGAGAGGAGGTATGCTGATGTTTTGCTTGGTTCACCTCGGTTCCTGCAAGAGAAGAGGTATGCTGATGTTTTGCTTGGTTTACCTTGGTTCCTGCAAGAGAGGAGGTATGCTGATGTTTTGCTTGGTTCACCTCGGTTCCTGCAAGAGAAGAGGTATGCTGATGTTTTGCTTGGTTTACCTCGGTTACTGCAAGAGAAGACGTATGCTGATGTTTTGCTTGGTTCACCTCGGTTCCTGCAAGAGAGGAGGTATGCTGATGTTTTGCTTGGTTCACCTCGGTTCCTGCAAGAAGCTGGATGTACTGACTAAAATTCACCATATATTAGTCAGCTCTCCAATACGCCAGTTTTTCAGACCGAGCTTTATCGCGGTTCTCCTCAGTCGCTCCTGGCAATATGTACGAGTAGTTTCTTGTGTGTGTGCTTGTTCATTCCCTCCAGGAGGCTGGATATGTTGACTGAAGTTCTCATGCATTTCCTTAGTCCTTTCAAACAGAGGTTGAGTCATTATTTTACAATAAGCCGCAACTGAATCCTTATATATCATTACCTGTTCATCTTTGTAATTATATTTTCATTTTACACCAGTGCTAAGATCGTTAAACTTCCTCCCCTTTGATCTATTTTATTACATTCTGTTATGATCTCTATTTTATTATGTTGTGTTCTTCTCTGCTCTGCTCTGTTGCACTTTAACCATCTTTTGCTTCAAGTTATTTCTTCACTGAAGTGCCAAATCTGAGGGTGTGGTCTTATTTCCGTGCTTCATAGCAAACTACGTTACTTGCGGATGGACCGCGCTGAAGTGGAATGGACGTATTGTACGAGTATGTGAGTCTTAGGAGTACAGAATTCCACAATGAAGTCGCTGTTGTGCCTGACTGATCTGTGACGGTCTTGTTGCAGGCTCTCAGTGGGTTTCTCATGATGATGACTCAGAACGGGAAATTGCTCTACATCTCCGACAACGCTGCTGAGTACCTGGGCCACTCCATGGTGAGTACAGACATGTGCAGTGTGAGTGTTATTATAGGCCTTCTGCGCACAAGGGCAAAATTCGGGTAAAGATTTTAGAACGAAATTGACAAGTGTGTCCTTTGTTTTCTTTCAAGAACACTGCTTACTCACGTTTATTTGATGTTCCTAATTTGGGCACCGCATGTTTGCTAGCTAGACTGGCTCTTTTGATAGCAAGAATAATTAATTTTTGAACGAATATCCTAATAGCACAAGTACGTAACCGGAAACGAGAATTGTTTTCATATAGGCTAAATGAACCGTCCATGATATGTATGTGTTGACCGTCTTCTAGTGCACACAATCTCACATGTCACTTCACTACATGTTTCGGCATCACTGTGCCATCCTCAGGTGTGTCACCTACGTTAAACTATTGCACTGCTCGCAATCATGTGTCGTTTATAAAATGATTTAAAATATATATGCGAGCAGTGCAATAGTTTAACGTAAATAACACACCTGAGGATGGCACAGTGATGCCGAAACATGTAGTGAAGTGACATGTAAGATTGTGTGCACTAGAAGACGGTCAACACATACATATCATGGACGAGAATCAGTGCAACAGGACGCTAAAATACAACATTAAATGAACAGTTTACAATTAGAGCTTTTAACTTACAACCGAAAAATTGAAATCGTAATAATATTGTATATACCAGTTAGCGATCACATGGTTGACTAGATGATGTGCGCGAAATAGTGCACCTGGTAAATGTAAAGACTGAGGTAAAGTTGTCCCTGTGCTTAACTAATTAAGCACTACGCCATTAATGCTTATGGGGAGTGGATGTATAGATCCACATTTTCTTGACCTCGGCACTAACCGGAGGTGAGTGGTGAGCTTGATGCCCCGGCCGCTTTACCTCCGTACTCTTTGGATATGAGGCTGGATGAACCCCAGACCCGGTCTGGACGACGTGAAGAAGAGAAAATTCTTAATCCTACCGGGACTCGAACTCCGACCCCTCGGTCGTCCAACCCCTAGCTAGTCGCAATACCGACTGCGTTATTCTGACACCTGAAATTAATTATTAGGTTATTTAATGCCAGCTGCAGTGTTGTATAGCACCCGATGAAATGAGAATATAATCTTGGATGAATGTGCAAGGATTTTGAAAGGAGAGTTAGTCTGTTCGAGTGTAATATCTCAGCTTTTATGCCAGACTGAGAGAAAATCCATTCAATCCTCAGTGAAGATAAGCGGTGACCTGGCCGAGATGTTAAAAATTTATATCCGTAATAGGACTGCTGCACTTGGCCTGCAATATTGCCACCACTTTATGCTATACGAGTATGAGTTGTCTGAACACTGTTGAACCTGGTACTGCCAGTCTAAATCTTGCCTTAGATACAGACCGTCAAAATTGTATTTTCTTTTCATTTTAACCTACAAATGTTCATGAATAATTCAGATTAAAATCGTCTGATTTGCGACACGATGTAGCTTTGTATGTGGAGGAAAGCTTTTCGGAGAAACGTGCTGTCTCCACTTTCAAATTTGAAATTTGTTGGGTTATATGTCTCCAGATTACACGAGAGAGGTGGCATGTATGTCACCAAGAAGTACATGGAGGTAGTGATCCAGAAAGAGGGGGAGGGAGCCCTATCTTGGCCCTGTATGGATGGCAAACAGGAGAATGTCAGGAATTAACCGTTTTCAAGGCCACTATGGGGAGTAAGGTAGGAAAGAAGCCCTTTTTAGGGACAGTATACAAGAGCAAATTGTACATGGATCAGAAAGTTAGAGTACGACTGGACAGTGGGGAGACAAGAAGTGTGCAGATTGGAAGAGGAGTTCGACAAAGATGCTGTTTATCACAAATTCTGTTCAACTTGTACAGCGAATGCCTTACGAAGGAAGCTCTGGATGGGCTCGGAGACTTCAAATCAGGAGGGCAAATTGTTCAAACTGTGAAATATGCAGATGACCTTATGTTAATGGCTAAGGAAGAAACTGTGCTACAGGGCATGATTGATAGACTAATTGAAATTGGAAGGTGCTATGGCATGGAAATGAATGTGGAGAAAACAAAAGTAATGAAAATTTCGAGACAACCAACCCCAGTCACAATAAAGATAGACCAAAAACAACTGGAGAATGTGAAATGTTTTAAATATTTGGGTAGCTTGTTAACAGATGATGGAAGGTGTACTTGTGAAATTAAATCCAGGATTGCCATGGCAAAAGCTGCATTTAGCAAGAAGAAGAATCTTTTTACCAGCAAATTGGACTTAAATTTGAGGAAGAAACTAGTGAAATGCTACATTTGGAGCATAGCTCTGTATGGGGCTGAAACATGGACGCTTAGGGCAGTAGATCAGAAACATCTGGAAAGTTTCGAAATGTGGTGTTGGAGAAGGATGGAGAAGATCAGTTGGACCGATTATGTGAGAAATGAAGAAGTGTTAATTAGGGTCAGTGAGCAGAGGAATATCCTACACGAAATAAGAAAACGGAAGGCTAATCGGATTGGTCATGTTTTACGCAGATAGAGGGGCGGATGGAAGTGACCAGAAGAAGAGGAAGAAGACGTAAGAAGATGCTGGATGACCTTGGGGACAGAAGAGGATACTGTCATTTGAAGGAGAAAGCTCTAGATAGCATTAAATGGAGGAATTGTTTTGGAAGAGACTGTGCACCTGTCGTCTGACAGATTACTGATGATGATACAAGAGTGTTGGATCACGAGAAAGTAACTGCTATGTCCTTGGAGAGGGAACTTTCTATTCTTTCCTGATGTGCATGAGAGATTTTCAGGAATGGTGACGGAGGCCACAGAAATGTAACTAACTCCGTGGCCTGTAGTCTGCAGACGAACTATGCCGACCGAGCGCCCGCCCCTGGTCGGTGAAGTTAGTGCCAACTTTTGCGGATATAGGGTGTCGCGTGGTCAGAGCAACGGATTCCCACGGCCGTTAATCTCGATTTCCTACACCGGAGCCTCTATTTCCTTGAAATAGCTCCTCACTTATCCTCACGAGGCTGAGTGGACCTCGTTCCAGACGTACTACTTCTCAGAAAATCTGGTAGCTCCGGGAATCGAACCCGGGACCTCTGGATTTGTAGCCAAGAACTCCGACCACTGGACCATAGAGGCGGTCCCCACAGGAATGTTTTTATACTAATGTAAACGTCGCTGAATAAATTCAAACAAGAGCATCTTAAGGTAAGACAAATTTTGTATTCAGAAAATGCAAAACGAATAAAGTTAAAATTGCAAATCTTGAAGATAAAGCCGAAAAGAGAAGATGCAACACTTGGTGACAATTCTAATTACTGGATCAGACTGGGAGATTCTCAGTTCCGTGTGGCACTCGCCGTTCGGCAGCACTGAGCTAACATTTCAGATAGCTCACATACTTCGAGTAAGAGCAAAACAGCGAGTGAGGAAACAAATTTATTTTATTACAACGTCTGCCAATACATCAAGTCACTGCAACCATAACATAAAAACGTTTTTCCTCCACTTCCAAAGACGATAACACTGTTGTCAAGTTAAATCACCGCTAAGGTAAATCCTGGGCGCGTTCATGCATTCTTCTCGACGAAGCGAATGGAATATTGAATCTGAAAGTCCGCGTCATCATGTTCTAGACCTATTTTTTGCGCAGCTTAAGATGTATGTAACGAGCATGCGCGTATCGTGTTATGAGGCTATACTCGTATATCCTTGTATATTGTTCTGCACACGCAGAAAATGATCGATAACCAAGAACTTGGCATTACCGTAAGAACTGAGCTGGGTTTATTATTAATGTTCTGAAGAAGGATGAAATGGGCGAGGCATGTAGCACGTATGCAAAAGATGAGAAATGCATTCAACATTTAGTGAGAGTACCCGGAGGGAAAACACCGCTTAAAAGACCGTAAGAGAATAATATTAAAGTGGAACATGAAGAAATATGGTGTGAGAACATGGAGATCATTTATGTGCTTCAGGTTAGCGTCCAGTATGAGCACGGTAATGGATCTTCGGGTTACATAAAATGCTTGGAATTTCTTAACTAATTGAGTTACTAGTAGCTCTTCAAGAAGGATTCCACTCCATTGATTTATTTTTTTACAACATGGAAGCACCAGCAAGTGCCAAAAATAGTTGCTTTTACCATAAACAGCCCAGTTAAAAAAACTTAAAAATTTGTTCATCAACTTTAACAGAATATTTTCTGAACCTGGGAAAGGATTCATTAAAACATCTTTGCATAATTATGTAAAAAGTTCGTAGGGAATCGAAGAGGTTTCTCACAGTAAACATAAATTACATGAAGTTCAATTAATTTTTTCTCTACTATAAATTGTTACGATCCTTATCAGGGAAAGTGCGAATCCTTGTCTGTTGATTCTCAGGTTAATATCAGAATTGCCTCAATTGCTGTTTTTATTAATATAGGTCAGTTTTATGCGAGGACTGGACATAATTTCAAGTAACGAGATAATGGAAATATTCAGACATTCGAGACAAATTAAGTAGAAGATGGGAGTGATTATAATTAAAAATGTATAATTAATAAGTTTCTAATATTGTTAAGATAATAAAGAAAGGAGGTATTTTGGGTAAAATTTTCGCTGTGAAAAACGCTCTAAATGAGACAAACTGGAATTCTAGTGAATTGATAGAAGAATGATTTTGAAACGGATAAAAGGGAAATAGGCCCCAAAAATGCAACAATTTTTAATTGTTTCAAGATTATATCTGTTGTTGAGGTTAATAAAATTATGTTTCCATACAAAGAAAACCAAAACCTTTGAAGAGAAGGAAACCGGTAAGGTATGGTAAAATTGTGCGAAATCATAACACACTAGAAAAAATTGGTAAATTTTGGCATTTAGGAAATGTAACACACTCTTTTGCTTAGAGAGATTTGGAAGGCATAAGTCAAACACTTGCGCGCAAATAAGTGGTAGTAATTCAGACACTTTGATAAAATCATATTCGGGAACACATACTTCAAGTTATGCATAATATTGGCCG